TCATCGTTCGGGGTCATTTGGGTCACTTTTTCGACTATCGTGTCCAAAACGATAGTTCGCACATTTTCACCCCGCCCGCGAAGTCGTAGCGAAATAGACATCCTCCGTAAGTGAAATCGACGCTCCGGACACATTAGTGGGGTCCGTTTCATCATCCAGGGTCATATAGACCACTTCGTCAAGCGATCGGGCCAATTCAAGCCAAAATCGCGCGCGACGCGCAACATAATATTTTTCACCCCGATCGGAGTCGTCCGACGTGCCAAATGCCGACCGGCCTTCACCTAAGCGAAAGTCATAGCCTAGCAAAATGACTCTGGCTATGTGCCCCTCAACACGTGCCAAAAAAGTTTCGGGTGGGTGTCTAAACTACCGGATTGCTACGGACAGACTGTAAACTATCCTGAATCATGCAGGTGGACACCCTACACTCGTGACATCAAAAATTGATGCCAACAACTTCAATATTAAGCGTGCTTGGGATGGGTGAGCATCCTTGGGATGGGTGAGCATCCTTGGGATGGGTGACTTCTTGGAAAGTTACACCAATTGAGCAAAACCATAAGACCACTAGACCAAAGTGGACAATACCTTGATGGGTGAGAGTTCGTGCCGCCACATCATCTCTGTGGTTCACGCTGCCAATACTAATTGCGAAAGGGCAGAATTTTGGAAGTTCATTACAAGCTTTGCAAGGAATGTTTCTGGATCTTGGGTTGTCCTTCGTGATTTTAGCTGTTGTAGATTCCAATAGAAAAAGCAGGTGGCAAACTTCTTTCTCCCAACAGACTGAAATCATTTAATGATTGCGTTCTTTCTGCCAGTCTGGTCTTTATTTTACGTGGTCGAGATTAGACAATCAAATGTACAGCAGCTTGACATAATCCCTTACTAATGAAGTTTGGCTAACTGCCTAGCCCCAATCCTAAAGTAATGTACTTGCTCTTCATTGCTTGGATCGTTCTCCCTTCATCATTACTGCACCTATTCCTTTTAAGCCCTAAATAGAATTAAACTGGTTTTGCCCGATATAATACAGAAGGCTTAAGCTGAGTTTATGTCTGACACTGAGTGTTGCAAAAAATATCATCCTTACTAATGAGATCCTCAATACCTTCCATACTCCCAATACTACATTCCGTTCTAAGCTGGACAGTAAAAGCACTTGATGCCATCAATTGAAGATTTATAGTTTCTAGAATGACGAATTAAGCCTTCCCTTCCATTTTTGTTTCCTGGATCGAAGCATTTACTGTGTTCTTCTTAAAGATTGCTTCTACATGCTAACTACTAGGGAAATTATATGGACAATTATGATTCTTCTAGTGAGGAGCAAGTTAGCTGGCGCCTTTGCTCTTGGACCGTGGGGCATTCGAGGTTTACTCTGTTGTTGGGATGTTCCACGCCTCTATTTTTTTGAGAAATTTGAGTGAATTTAATCAGGAACACATAGGCATTGCATATGCAAGACCTTGAACTCAAGATATCTTGGTTGAAAGTCAAGGCTCTCGACCAACGGATTAAGGTGGCTTGCATTCCACACATCTGTAAGTACACAAGTTTGGTTTTTTTTGGATCATTTTAGCAAAGATTGCATCATGATCGCTCCAAGGGCCTACTTTCTTAAATATTATGTTTTTGCTATATTTCAGAACCCTTTTCTTCCAGGTATTTGGAGTTGTTTTTGTGCAGGTTTATTATTTTGTAATCTGTCATTCCCTTCTCTTTGCCCAATTGGCCCTCTATAGCTCTGTATTTGGTTATTGTCAACGGAAATATTGGGCAACCCCCTTATAATTTCTCAATAATAATAATAATAATAAATAAATAAAGAAAGAAAGGGGAGGGCGTTGACATGCATACCGCACAATTCCCATGTATTTACATTTTTTTTAAAAGTGGGCTAAGACTGACTGAGGGGCGGTACCCCCATTCCAGTCCCATCCATCGGTCCTGTCATGTGCTAATTCAAACAGCCCGTCAGAGCTGAGATTCAAACCCCCGACCCGAGCTTCTTACACGAAAGCCGCCACTAATAAGCTAGGGCTTGTGCACCATTCATATGTATTTACATCCTATCATGAACAAATAAAAAGTCTGCAATATGACAGCTTTTAAAAATAGATGCGGAAAGCAGGTGTTGAATTACATAAAATTTTGTACTGTTTTACAATTGTTAAATAAAACTTTATTTATTTATTTAATAAATTAGTTAAAATTTTGTTGCTTAACTGCATCATAAATACTCTCTGCATTTATTATTTTAAAACAAAGCAGAACAGATAAAGAAGCAATTTAAAAGGGATCATTTATTAATAGCAATTTTTATTCTGCAAGTTACATTTATATTTTCTGTTACCATCATCCAACTTTCGTCGCTTAACCAATGCTATCTGCTCATGATTTGCGTATTCTATTGTTTATATCATATTCACAAGAGACCAAACAAGTCCTCTTTTTTTTTTCTTTTCTTTTTGGTCACACTAGTTGGCCCATATTATTAGGGGTGTAAGCGAACCGAGCACGAACAAACAGAGCCAGTGTTCGTGTTTGGTTTGTTTGAAATTAGGTGTGTTTGAAATAAACACGTGTTCGAAATTGTTCGTGAAGTTGTTGTTCGTGTTCAGTTCGATTTGTTCAAAATTAATTTGAATTGATCGAAATGTTTGAATTGTTTGACTTGTCTGAAGTATTCGAATTGTTTAAATTACTCGAATTATTTGAATTGTTCTATTTGTTCGAAATGTTTGATTTGTTCGGATTGTTTTAATTGAGTGAAATCACATAATTTTTTTCCCGTTCTATAATGTTCACTCAGAAAACTTGCTCCTATATTCTTCTCATTGATCTGTTTTGTGCGCAACATATTTACACAAAGTTATGAGTTAAAACTCTTTATCATCAGCAAGTTTTTAACATACAACTAATATATATTATATATTTATTTTTTATTTTATTTGTTTTTGAGAAGTCACCCTCACAAAACCATTATCATCAATATAAAAAAAATAAATAAATAATCAAAGATAATTGGGCCAAATTGTGTGAACAGAAAGAAAAGAAAAAAGAGGAAATATGGGATTTTTTTTTTTCACTTAGTGTTTAACAATGCAACATTTGTCTATTGCAACCATCATATAAAATAAAAATAATAAAATTAAACATAAAAGGCAAAAATCATTTAGCATCTAACAATAATAAGAAAATAAATAGAATATGCAAAAACAAATAAAGATAGTATACATCAAGAAAAGAGAGCCAAAAAAAACATCTTATATGAAAAAAAAAAAAAAAGGATTTGCTTATATACCTTTCAGTTCGTACGTGTGTGTGCGCGCGCGCTCAAGGGTTAGAGCTTAAGAAAGGAGGACAATGATAAATTGTAATACATCTTATATATTAGTTATTTCTCATAAAAGGATCTTTTTATTTATAGGAAAGATGATATATAATGTGATATTGCATTTTTGCTCATTCTTTAATAAGGTCGTTACATAATATTTTAGGGTTTAGGGTATACATGCGAGCTATTGCCTGGTTATCCTATGATTGGGTCGGTTGTGATAGCAAGACTTTAGCTCGGTAAGGCTTCTTTGGTTGGCTTGATCGAGTTAATGTAGTCGATCAACTAGATTCGATTAATTTTGGGTTGGCATGACTGCTTTGGTTGGTTAAACTTTATCTATATGTTGATCTAGTATGACTGTCGACAATTGATTTTTAGATGAGGGCTTGTTGGCAGAACGAGAATAAGTTATCGAGCAGATGATGGATTATTGTAACTCGATAGATAGATCATTCCTTAATGAAGGGGTCTTTTTAGACAATTATGAGGCTTTGTTGCATTATCAATTCTTGGTCCCTGACGAACTTTGAGGGCGTTCATGGGATGATTGGTGATGGTGAGAAATTAGATTTTTTTCATCTGGTTGTATCTATTGAAAGGTAGCTCAAGGCCTACGCTCGGCTTTCCTATGATGGTTAGCTTGGGAGTTGATCTGTCTGTTAAAGCCTGCTCAACCCGCAATTCGATCATTCATTTTGTCCTCCTAACTAGTCAAGCCTTCATCCTTGGCTCAGACGTCTGCATCCAATCAAGCAAGTGGGGTGTTTTGTTCTCTTGTCAGTGGACCATGTACTTCATTCTTTTTGGATTGTTCGATTTTTTCCAAGATTTGTGTTGGCAATTTCTTGGTGTACATTATTTATGCATGAAAAAATATATTTCACCCATAAAAAGTTAAAATAGTGATATTTTTTACATGATACGAAGTATAAATGTAAAAAATAAATTTAGGAATAGAGTGATATGCATTTACCACAAATCAATAAGTCTCATTTTGAACCACAAAACTGATTTATACTTATATATTTATACCATATTATTAATTTTATTCAAATTTATATTACCTTTCCCCAATCCTTTATATTTTATTTTCAGATATTTTCATTGTTAGGTTTATGATCATTGTTTGATGCATTATTGCATGAAAACGTGGAGCTCGTGATATGATTATTTATTTCACAATCAAATATCCTATTAAAAACGTCAATTTATTTATTAAACCTTGTCATTGCACGTCATGTACAATTGATCCCGCTACGTACTCGACCAAAATAAAATAAAAATTCATTTTTTCTTTACATATCTAACTCAAAATTCTTATATATTTAAAAAATTATTTCATGCGGACACCGCCATCACTGCAAAGATGTATTTTGATGAGCCACACTTTTAACTTTTTTCTTTTAATTTTTTTTTTATTGCAGTGATCGACGGTGAAGATCGGATATTATTTCATGCGGACACCGTCATCACTGCAAAGATGTATTTCGATGAGCCTCACTTTTAATTTTTTTTTTAATTTTTTTTATTGCGGTGATCGACGGTAGAGATCGGATACCGCATCTGCATATGCACACATAAATTTTCATATTTACAGAAGTGGCAGGTAAGTAAAATTTTTAAATAAATAGAAAAATCTCCCTTTCTTCCACAGGCGACCAGCCATCCTCCAGCTATCCACAATGGGCTCCCAAGTCTCCAAGCAAATCGAACGCCGGAAAGCCATTGCCGCCGAGAAGAAAATCCTAGCCGACCTCCTCTCCAACTCCGGCGATCTCTTCCCCGGCTCCGACTACCGCCCCTCCAACCGCTCCAACTGGATTTCCCAGCTCGGGGATCTCCAAAAACTCCACCTCTACCAGATCGTCTGGCCCGGCACCCACGACTCCGCTACAGACTGCATCGGCTTCCCCTTCATCTCCCGCCCCTTCGCCCAATGCCAATCCCTCTGCATCTACGACCAGCTCACCCTCGGCGCCCGTCTGATCGACATCCGGGTCCAACAGGACCGCCGCGTCTGCCACGGCGTTCTCAAAACTTACCCGATCGACCACGCGCTCGACCAGATCATCAGATTCATCTCCGATTCGCCTTCCGAAATCGTCATTCTCGAGATCCGAACCGAGTTCGGCTACGAAGATCCGCCCGGCTTCGACTCCTTCTTAATCGATCGTCTCGGCGACCATTTGATCCACCACGACGACTCCCTCTTCTCACGCACCGTCGCCGAGATTCTTCCCAAACAGATCATCTTAATATGGAAGCCGCGGAAGGCGCCGCCGCCGCATCCCGGCGGGGCGGTGTGGAGCGCCGGGTATCTTCGCGATAACTGGATCGATACAGATTTGCCTAATACTAAGTTCGAGAGCAACATGAAGCATCTAGGACAGCAGCCGGCGGTGGTCGGGAGGAAGTATTTTTACCGGGTGGAGAACACGGTGACGCCGCAGGCGGACAATCCGGTGGTGTGCGTCCGGCCGGTGACGGGTAGGATTCAACCCTATGCTCGGCTTTTTATTTCGCAAGCTTTTGCTCGGGGATTTGGGGATCGTTTGCAGGTTTTCTCTACTGATTTTATTGATGAGGATTTTGTGGATGCTTGTGCTGCTCTGACTCTTGCTAGATTGGAAGGGAAGGCATGATAGATAGATAGATCCTTTGGGTGTTTTTCTTGGGAAGATTTTTACATACATACCACTCAATTTTTTATGTTTTTACATTTATAACATCTAAACTTCAATTTTTTACACATTCAACCCTTTACCTATGGGTTAAAATGTGTATTTTAAATGTGGCATTTTTTTATGTGATGTGAATAGAGGTGGTAGAAATGTAAATAAATAGGAGTTGTGTGGTATGTATGTAAATGAGCTCTTTAGAGGGAAGTTTTGCATGCATACCACTCAATTCTTATGTATTTACATATCCAACACCTAAACTTCAATCTTTACATACTCGCCACGTTTTGCATGCATGAACAAAATGTATATCACTTTTTAAAAGTTAAAATATTGATATTTTTTATATGAAAATGAATAATTTGTGTGGTATAAATGTAAAAAAAAGTGAAGTTCGGATGTTAGAGATGTAAATAGATATAAATTTGATGGTATGCATGTAAATGCCCAAACTTTAATTGTTGTGCATTGTCCTTAATGTTTAATGTTGATAATTAATGAGTTTGTTAAGAAATGTTGTTTCTTTATGTATGTTGTGCATTGAAAGTGTATTGTAAGATTTTTTTTTTGTTTGTTTGTTTGTCATGTATGGTTTAATCATATCTTAAATTCATGTATGGAATGTCTTTAGTCATATGTTTTGTTTTCCTAAGAGTGAGTATGTTTATTTCATTAATTATGGTGTATGTATGACAATTTGATATTTTTTTGATAATTTTTGTTTTCACATCTACTTAAGTTTTATTTTATACTTGGGTCATATTTAAGGGTGTAAATGAACCGAGCCGGTTTGACAAGATAATGAGCTCAAAAACATTGCTTATCAAGCCATGAGCTCGAGCTTGTCCCGACTTCTCATTGGCTTGCAAGTTGGCTCGATTAGCTAATTGCTAGTCATTTCGATGTATTTTCCGATGAATTGCCAGTGCATTTTTCTCCTCCGGCAACCAATACCATCTCGAACGAGCTCATGTAAAAATTGAGTTTCTAGTTTGAGCTCACGAGTAAGGCTGTAAATGAGTCGAGCTTGAGCGAGCTCAAGCTTGACTCGTGTTCAGCTAGTTCAAAATTGGCTCACGTTCGAAATGGGCTAGTAAAGTGCGTTCGTGTTCGGCTCGGTTTAAATATTCTCGTTCGTGTTTGGCTCCAAATTAGCTCCTTAAAATTAATTGAAAAAATAGATGTAATATTAGATTCAAAATGGACTAAATATATGCAAAAGAAGACGCATAATCACATTATCACACAAGCTGTTATAATTTAAATTTAGATATAATAAATATAATATTTATTTATTTCAAGCTAAAACGAGCCGAACGAAGCGAAAAAAGAGCTATTCGTGTTCGGCTCTTTTATAATTTAATTTTTAAAAAAATTGTCCGTGTTCAGCTCATTTACTTAAAGAATGAGCCGAACAAGAGTTGTTTGCGAACGAGCTATTTTGACAACCCCACTAACAAGCCGGCTACTATCACTATGAACTGAGCTGGAGCTCACCATTCGAGCTCGAGCTCGAGCTCACAAATTGGCAGACGAGCCGGTCTCGATAATGGCATGACTCAACCTCAACTCGACTCGTTCACACCACTAGACTCATTTGTACACTCATATTCCCTTTAGTTTGGTTAATAATGGATAGTTGGTAGCATGCTCACTTGCTATGATAATTAATAACTACAATTCCAAGTTAATTTATGTATATTTATCTCTAATTTCATTGAGCTCATTCTCATTGAACATTGCTTTTTCCTATAAATATGATTTCAATGATTTGGCTTGAACATGACATGATTTATGACAAACGTTAATAATATTTTTTGTTCACATATCTATACTTATGATTTTTCTCATAGCTTCTATCTTTAGAACCCCCCCATAAATTTAATATGACATATTTTCGTTATGTTATTCTTAATTAATGCAAGAGAATCTATGACCAATAACTTCTTCCTTTGCCCCCATCTCTAATCCTTCTTTGGCTCAAACCCAAATATGTAATAAGATTTTGGTGATACCCTACAAACGACAATGTATCAAATATTTACAACTGTTGCTATACCAAAGACTAAGAATCAAGTCATGGATTGTCATATGAAGGGTTATTTGTAGAGCAACCAAGGCTATAAAAGAGCGGAGTTTGAGCAAGTTCGTGTTCAATTCAATCAAAATTAATTATGTTTGAAATTAGCTTATGTTCAAAATTGCTCATGAACAGTTTGTTTTCAGCTTAATATACATATTCTTCTTCATGTTCATCTCACGTTTGACTTGGAATTGATTGGTTTAAAATTAATTAGAAAAATAGAGGTAGCGAGTTGAATTTGAACATGCACCAATTCTTTGCAATTGAAGCGCAAAAACACATGACCATAGGGCTATGTTGATTTAAACTTAGATATATATATAT